TTGTTCCTCTGCTCTTGATTTTTCCTGTTTCCCCGGAGTTTTCATGCTGCTTTGGGGTTTGTTTTCTCCCCAGGACAGTGCTGCTGTGCAGATCCTGCTGGAGATCTGCCTGCCCACAGAGGAGGAGAAGGGCCAGGGCAGCAGCTCTGCTGCTTTGCTGCTGGGACCCCCCAGTCCCCCGGGCCCCAGGGGGGTCGAGGCCGAGGAGGAGGAGGGTTTGCTGTGCAACCTGAGGGAGGTGCAGTGCCTCATCTGCTGCCTGCTGCACCAGATGTACATTGCTGACCCCAACATCGTCAAACTCGTGCACTTCCAGGTCTGCCTTGCCCTGCTTTGTTCTGCTGTTGTTCCTCGGGTCAGGGAAGGGTCAAGTGAGGTGGTCACAGATCTGGATTGTGTTCCTGGCCTTGTGTTCCTCAGCACTGATAATGACCCTCTGCTCCTGTGCCCCCACATTTCTAGTGCTTACATTTCCTCCCTGTTTCAGGGTCTGGACTCTGTTGTGGGGAGAAGGGAGCACTTAAACTATGCCTGCTCCTTGTCATTAAACATGTACTTTGTTTGTATTTCTGCCCTTCTTTATAGTTTGTCCATCTAGGCCGAGGAAAACTGGCCTAATCGTCTCCTAATTACTTGTTCCACATCTTCTGTGGGTTATTTTTCTGGCCACGTGTTTAGATCAGTGTTCCCTTTAATCAAAACTAATTTGGCTTCCAATGTAAAACATCTTATCTTTCCTTTTTGTTAGGGCACAGTTTATCTCTTTGGGGTGGAAGGAGGAAGGTTGTCCCTGCCAAAGCAGCTGTGCACCTTCCAAAAGAAAAAATAAATAAGAGGGGAAAGATTAGCAATTTTTAAAATATAAATGTGTTTTTAATGCATGTTAAATTGCTCCTTGCCAGATGGCAGACTCTTGACAAGGAGTTAATTTGCCTTGACCTGGAACTGATTAAGTACTAAAAAAGTCATTATGGTGCAGTTGTGAAATGAGCAAACTGGGGCTGCTGGGGAAGTTTGGAACACGGGAAAGACAAGGAAGGAAAGGCTCACTGCAGTCTGGTTGTGTCTGGGGAGTGGAGGGAAGGATTCTGTGCAAATAATCCACTGAGTGCTGAGGGCAGAGAACTGACCTAGACCCTGGGTTTGTACCCAGGCTGTGACACATTGACACCTCTCTGTCCTTCCTCACACAGGGCTATCCGTGTGAACTGCTGGCACTGACAGTGGCAGGGATTCCATCCATGCACATCTGCCTGGATTTCATTCCAGAGCTCATTGCCCAGCCTGAACTTGAAAAACAGGTACTGTGCAGTCACCTGCTTTGGGAATCACTGTGGGGAGTTAATCCTGAGGAGAGAAAACAGTCACTAAAAACATCCTGTTCTAACTTGCCCGGGCTGGTCGAGCAATATTTGTAGCACTTTTACCTTAAATTAAAGGCCTGGCATTGCAGGTAACTGGAATTTGTTGGGCTACAGATTCCTGTGTTTCTGTATGGAATGATGGAATGGTTTGTGTTGGAAGGGACCTTTAAATTAATTTAATTCCAACCCCTCCTGCCATGGGCAGGGACACCTCCCACTAAGGCCAATTTGCCACATCGAGCCAGCTTTAGAGTTTGTTTAATCCCTTCTCAGTACTGAGTTCCTGCTGCTGAGGAGACACTCAACTGAGGTTAAAATGAGAACAATCCAGACCCAAGCAGCTTTTCCAGGGCTTGGGTTGGGAGCTCTGTGTTGTTTTGCTGCTCACCATTAATGTTGGAACAAACTGTGTCTGTGGGGGAGAATCTGAAACACTGATGCTGGTTGTTTTACTTAATATGAGCAGGGGAAAAAAAAATCAGAATAACTGTTATATTAAGGCTTTTTCAGCTTTCATTTCTTGGTAAAATAGAGAATATTTACTAACTTGTGATTTTCGTCAAGAGCTTTGGAGATAGAAAGTACAAGCAATTTGTAACTTTATTGCCTGTTTCTCTCTTTGCCTTTCACCTACCTGCCAGATATTTGCCATCCAGTTGCTGTCCTATCTGTGCATCCAGTATGCACTGCCTAAATCCCTGAGTGTGGCTCGTCTGGCCATCAACGTGATGGGAACCCTGCTCACAGGTGGGTGCTCCAGCAGCCCCCAAAATCCTTGCTGTGGGAATTAAGATGTTTTGTCTAAATTGATGCAGTTTGGTGTGAATGCCACTCTTGTGGCAGTTAATACTGGAAATGCAACCCCAGTTCCTGGCAGGGTTTTTATAACAATTCCATCTTGCTTCCCCACGTCCTCCCCTCCGGCAGTGCTGACCCAGTCGAAGCGCTACGTGTTCTTCATGCCCACCCTGCCCTGCCTGGTGTCCTTCTGCCAAGCCTTTCCTCCCCTCTACGAGGACATCATGTCCCTGCTGATCCAGATAGGACAAGTCTGTGCCTCTGATGTTGCCACACAGACACGGGACTTCGACCCCATCATCACCCGTGAGTCGAGAGCGCCTTTCTTTCACAAACAGCCTCGTGGCCCCAGGGGGGACCCAACCTGTGGTGATGTTTCCAAAGTTGAACGTTTCATGGAATTTACTGCTTGTAAATACAGATGGAATAGGGGCAGGTGGATTTGCTGGATAGAGAAGGGAATTTAGATGTCCCTTATCTAAAGTACTGATTGATTAAACTTTGCCTTCTCTTCTCTTTCCCTGCCTGCACCGTTACAAGATGGGTCCCTGCGTGCAGGTGCTGTGCAGAGAGCTTGTCCTTGTAGGCTGAGGATTAATGACATGAGCAGAGGCCACTGGTTTTTGGAACAGCAGGGCACACAGAAATGCTGTTTTGTCTCTAGGCAGTCGAGTGAAGCCTGGTGAATAAAATAGTGATGGCTCAGATTTGCAATCCCATCACATCTATCCATGTTAGGGGTGGGAAATAACAACTTTCAACGCTTGATTTATTTAATGTACTTTGCTGCCTCTGCCTCGTTTTGCAGGTCTCCAGCAGCTAAAGGAGAAACCCCACGATCTCTCAGGGCTCTGGAAAGACTCCTCTGCCAAGAGCTGCTCCAGGGACGTGGCCAGCCTGGACCCCGACGTGCGGCTGTGCCAGTGCGTGGAGAGCACCATCATCGACATCATCAACATGAGCGTCAGTGGCCTTTAGGAACAGCTCAGGGGCGTTTGGAGCTCGGCCCACTGCCCACAGTGCCTGAATCTGAGAAAGCTGTGAAAGTGCTGAGGAGCTGGAGCAGAAATGCCTGATTTTCATCCATTGATTCACTTATGGCCCAGGAATCAATTCTTTTCCAGAGGCTCACGTTGCTTCCAGTGAAAACTCCTGAGGCTGGTGGGATCAGGAAAGAATTCCCAGTGGAACTGGGAGTGATCTCCAGGCTTGCTGAGTTTCTGAGGTGATCCAGCAGCACAGCTGGGGGGGATTGAGGGCACTGGAAAAGGGAATATTTCATTTGGTGAGCAAACAACAAAATGAGGGGAAGGAAAACCTGGGGATTCCGGTGAGTTAAATGAGCTGTCCCAGAGCAAGATGGAATAAAGTACTGTGAGAAATACCTGAAAATGGAATAAAGAAATACCTGGAAAAAAAAATACCTGAAAAAAATACCTGAAAAAAAATACCTGAAAATGGAATAAAGAAATACCTGAAAAAAAAATACCCTGAAAAAAATACCTGAAAAAATACCTGGAAAAAGAAATACCTGAAAAAAGAAATACCTGAAAAAAAATACCTGAAAAAATACCTGGAAAAAAAAATACCTGAAAAAAAGAAATACCTGAAAATGGAATAAACTCTGAGAAATACCTGAAAAAGTGGTGCCAGTGGCTTCCATCATCACACTGAGGGCTAAGGAAACGTTTGAACTCGTTTTGTTTGTGTGTCAGGCCATTGGTCAGAGTTTCAGGAGCTTCCTTTAAAGATCAACCAGCCCTCCCTGAGAGTTTGAAACTGCTCTGGAAGCTGCTTTAAAAAAAAAAAAAGGATTAACAGTAAAAATGAGTTTATAAATGTGCTTCTTACAGGATGGGTGTTTGTCATGCAGCTCACATGAGCTGGTACTTTTTGACTTAAACGTGATGGGAAAGACCTGAAAATGAGATCATCAGGGTAAGAAATTGGTGTTGAGTGTGGAAAGAAGGAAAGGAAGGAACGACCAGAGCAGTTCCAGGCAGCTCAGAAAGCCAAATCCCCCTCTTGGAGTTGGTTGTTCTTTTCCACCCAGGGGATTTTTGTCATTTACTGTAAATGATGTAAATAATCTGAATGTATTATTTTTTTCTCTCAGTTCCAAGTGTAATTTTTTATGCTGTAGTGGTATTTAAATAAAAAAAAACAACGGTATGGCTGAATTTTGAAGGGAGTTGCCTGTATTGATTTTCAGTTTTCCAGTTTTTAAGTTTTCCAGACTCATCCCAAATTCCACCTGAGGGAATCCCCACCCCGGGACATCCCAACAGCTCCCAAACCAAACAGATCTGGGGCTCCTGTGGTTGGGGCAGTGTTGAAAAATCATTGACTCTACAAAAACTATTAGTTTTTTATTCCCATAAATTATTTTCTTCCCTATTCCTGAATATATTTCCAGGGTGTTTTCTGTGCACTGCCCTTAAAACAAGGATAATAATAATAATAACGATAACAAGGATAATAACAATAATGGTAACAATACCCAATAGTGATAAAACCTGATAATAATAATAGTGGGCAATAATAATGGTCAATAACACAACAAGAGCAGTAATTATGAAGGTATAATATATAATTATACAATAGAAGATAATGTAAAATATATAGTCATATATAATATAATGTCAATTGTAATATAATACAATGTAAGCAATAAAATACACTATTATAAATAATACTAAACTGGCGGTTGCCTAGCAACGCGCGCATCCCGGAAGCCAACAAGGCGCGCAGCGATTGGCTCCCGGCGCTCGGGGGGAGGGCGCAGTGTGCGGCTCGCCGATTGGCGGCGCGCGGCCCTTTCCTGTCAGCTGATTGGCTGGGGCGGAGGCGGGAAGGACGGATGGCGCTGAGGGCGCTCCGGGAGCTCTGAGGGGTTCGTGAGGGGAGCGGGGCCGGGGCTGAGCCCACCCGGGGATCCCGCGACCAGGGACCGCTCTGCGGGTGGGTTCGAGCGGCACCACTTCCTCAGGAGGCAGAGCCGCTCCGCCCGGGGCCGAGCTGGCGGTGAGGCTTCGCTCAGGGCGCCCGAAGCGCTCCCGGCCGAACTGGCGCTCCACGGAGGGGACCCTGCGGTGTCCCCGACCCTCCCAGCGCCTCACGGGCAACCTTAACTCGGAGTTATCCTTCATTAAGGATCCCCTGAATGATCCCCCTGAATCTGTGGGGAAAAGCCTTTTCGCGGGGGGGGTCCTTCCATCCACCCTGCCTAGGATGCAAACTCATGTCAGCAATCTCCTTTCCTTAGGATTGCGTTTTCCCGTGGAGGAGCTCGGTGATGAAGCTGAATCATGCCGTGTGTTGGTGTTTTTTGGATACGTGTATTTAATTAAAAGTCAGAGGAGGACACAGGTTAGTGGGTTGATTTATCGCCTGGAATCTGCCACTTTAAACGTGCTCTGTTGGTCAAGGCTGAAAACTTGTAAGAAAAAAACCCTGTGTTGTTTAAAAAATATGGTCTCTTTTGAAGCCTTCTGTGCCTCTTCAGTATTTTTAGTTCAGTAATTTCAACTTTGTAGCACGATAGGGAAATTGTCTTTTATTATCCAGAGTGACAGATGTTCAAGGTAATAATCACAGGATTAGTAAAGTGAGTGACACCCCATTTCCCCCCAGTAATTACTGTGTTATTTGTGGAAGAAAAGTGTTCGTTTTAAAACATTTTTAAAGTCAGTATCCAGTTTTATTTTCATTGTTACAAGAGGGGTGGTACAAGCTACTGTTGACAGCTGTGTCTTTGGAGTTTGCAGTGTCTTGGAGTTCAGGCTGCTGGAGCTGCAGAATTGAAGGACTGCCTGATATTTAGTGACTAAAAATCCTAAAATCCCTTTTCCCCGTGGCTTTTGAGTTTTTATCCCAACGATCTCCAGTCTGGCTGGTGGAATCTGAACCGGTGTGTGCAGTCCTTTGTGGGTTTATTTAAATTGCTGGTGTGACTCATTAGCTGGTGGCAAGTTGCTCTTGTTTGTAACGAGGACCAAGCCCTGCACTTCAGTTCTGTTGTTGTCCTGAACCATTACCAGATTAGCTGCTTCTCCATGTTCTTAGTTGTTGTTAAATGTTGTTTCAGGCTTCATCTGGCTGTTACTGTTGACTTGCTAATACTATTTTATCTTTTAATTGCAGTTCTAAACCTGAAGTAAAGGGGAGGAAGAGCTGGCAATGTCTTCTGAGGGGGCAGAATACACCATCGGGGGGGTGAAGATCCTCTTCCCCTGCAAGGCTTACCCCTCCCAGCTGGCCATGATGAATGCTGTGAGTACAGCTTACACTGCCAGCTCCTAAACCAAGAGTGTTTCCCACTCTTTGGAATTCCAGTTTCTCTATCAGCATGTAGGAAAAGGACATATTAAATTCAGGGCCTCCGGTGTGTTGAGGATTTGTTGTAACAGCTGTGCTGTGCAATATCTGCAGCGTGCCCAGGGGATGCTGAGGTGCATTTTGGATTTGTGAGCATTTGTGCTAAGAGCCAAGTTGTGTGTTGTGTAATATATATTTTTATTTTTATAGATATACTGTTAGAGAAGTTATATATAACTTTGAGGGGGCACTGATTTAATAAAACATCTGTCTCTTAAACAGAATAATAAAGTAATATTTCAATAAGTTTTCACTTTATTGGAGTTTTTAAAAACGAATTGTTACACTTACATTTAAATATTTTAAGGAGTTTTAACCATTTAATTTTTTTTCTTTTCTCTGTGGCACAAATGGTTTGGTTGTTGTTATTATTATTATTAAAGGTGATTGTGGGGGTTGGTTTTCTACTTGTCATAGGACAGCAGGTGTTCTAGACGTTTTTAGAAGTTATTTCTGAGGTGAGCTGAAGACATCTGCTTTGCTGTCTCTTAATTCTGGTTTTGCCCTTGCTGTTCTCCTTGAAGATAGTGAAAGGTTTAAACACCAGGCAGCACTGTTTGCTGGAGAGCCCTACAGGCAGTGGGAAAAGCTTGGCATTGCTTTGCTCTGCGTTATCATGGCAGCAGACTCTGCACGGTGAGTTGTCTCAGTGGCTGCTTGCACAGTTTTTGTTACCAAAACAGTGAATTGCTGCCGTTGATCCGCCTTTAATTTTGTTTATCAGCCTTGGATGTCAGGTGTTTGTGCACCATTACACACCTTACCTTGCTGGCAGCACAAAGCAGTGGTGGCCAGTAGAGCTGAGCTGGATTTGGATCTCTAAGGGAATTGTTTGGCTGTTGGAACTTTGGAGGAGAATCCTCGTGGGTGGCAGTGGTGTGGGTGGCACTGAAGGGGAGAGGTGTTTTCACTTCTCAGGGGTTACAGCTCTTTGCACCGCAGTTCCTCAGGGGGTGGTGGGAACTCGCTCAGCTCTGCAGACACCCCGGGTTTACAGCTGGTGCCTGAGCTTCCACCTGGGCTGTTGTGCCGGTGTGGGTGTCCTGTGAAACCCCGCTGCTTTCAGTGACAGCCGATGTGTGTCCCTCAGAGAAACGCGAGCTGAGCCGCTCCTGGGAGCAGGACAGGAAGGCAGAGCCGGCCCCGCCCTGCCCCTGCACGTGTCACTGCCAGCCCAGGGGCAACGAGGCTGCAGCGAGTGGGAACCCTGGGCCTTCTCGTCCTTCTGACAGCTGGGAAACAGCCACTTCCACCAAACCTGGAAGCCCCCTGACTAACACAGGTAACTTCACACACACCCAGCTAAAAATTTGTTCTGAGAGATGTCTTTTGCTTTCAAGTCAGGTGTTTTTTTTTTGCCATCATCATAGAGTACTACAGAACTCTGCCCTGCGTGAAATCTGTGTGGGGATTAATGGGTCTGGAAATGTCCAGTACAGTTACCCACATCACGTGTGTTTATAGTAAAATCCATTTTTAAATTGCTGCCCTCATTTAATGCACTTCTCTTTTCTTTGATGAGTTACAGAATGTAAGGAAAATGAAACTCTAGCTTCGAAGTTGGCTGCCAAAAAGAAGTCATCCCTACATGACAGTGAGACTGATGATTTTCAAGTGGACAGGAAAAGGATCCGTCCTTTGGAAACAGAGCAGCAGGTGAACAAAGTTTATTGGCTGTAAAATAATCCAGGTGCAGCTAAACCAAGCTGTCAGATACCAACCAGTATTACAGAGAAGGGTGTGGACAATAGTTGAGTCATGTCACAGTTCAGATTGACAGGTTTCTGTTCATTTTTATTGTTACTTGTTACAAAAGAGTCCAGTTGTTGCATTTAAATGTTCATAATAGCCTGTCCTAAACCATACCCTGCCTATTTAAACAAGCAATATCCCCAAAATATGTTTATCCCCAGCTGATCTGTGATACTAAGCCAAAGTATGAGATTCAGGAGTTGAAAGTGCTCTTGGAAATGGTTTCTCTCCAGTCTGATGTTGGTATCTCTGGCCTGGTGTGTGGAGTGCAATATTTCTGTTATGTTTCCATCTGTGTCAGTGTTGGTGTCCCATGGCTGAGGACTTGTGCACTAAAACAGCTTTTCCATTGCTGCAGAGCACTTTTGGTTAAGTTTTTACACCAGCACGGCTTGAATTTGCTTTTTTGGTTTTGTTGAGAAAGTTTTCTGCTTATATCTATATAGCACTATAATGTCTCTCAGTTTTGTGACAGTGAGAAAATAAAGCAGGAGAGCTCAGCAATAATTACAGATATTTTGTAATTAAATCTTCAAAGCTTTCCCTGAAGGCTTTTTGTGGCTAAAATTGGTTAAGCTGCTGTCAAACATTAACGGTGCACGGTGTTACTAAAACAGCCTCAGTGGAAAAGAGCTGAAGCAAAGCCCTGCAGAGGGAGCACATCCTCCTGCCCAGGGCATTTGTACACTGTTTTTGTCCCCAGCAGGTCAGAAAACGCCACTGTTTGGCCAGAGGAGTCCAGTTGGTCGATGCTTTAGAAGTTTATCATCAGAGGAAAAACGGAGAGCTCACTGTTCACTCTGAAAAAAGGGTGAAAACCGCTGCTTGTTCTTCCCAGACAGTAAGTGATGCAACAATACCTTTTACAGCAGGAGTGGTACTTCAAGAACAATTAAAAGCAATATTTAATGGCTCCCCAATTGCATAAAAGGTGGCCCAGCAACTCAGCCTGTAAACTGTCAGTGTGTGACAGCAATCGTACAGCAGGTTGAAATCCATATTTTATATTCCAGCCTCTAGTAGATTGATGACATGGAAGAACTGGCAACTGGGCCCGTGGAAATCAGCTGAAATCAGGGTTTGTAGATGTTGTGCCACCTTGAATTAAGTTTGGTTTCCACACACATTTCAATTCTTCCAACAGCTCTTTGTAAGTCCTAAATGAGCTGCTGTTTTAATCAGTGCAACCCAGAGCAGGTTTCCAGGATTCCGTGCCTTTGTAAACACAAAGGAAGCCAAAAGCTGTAGTGTTACTTTTAAGACACTGGGAGCTAAATATTTTCTTAACAAAAGTGAATCTGTGTTGCAGGTCATTTGATGGGAGGTGGGTTCTGTTGGTTTTGGAAAGCTCTGAGGATTTCTGAGTAGGATTCAAAATGCTTTGTGTGCCACTGAGCTTCAGCTGATCATCTGCAATCCAGAGGCCAGCAGAGTGTGCTATTGATTCTCAAATAAAAAGGTCTTTTTGCCTTCCTTGATTGTAAAATTTCCTTTGGTGCTTTGGTGTGGGTATGTGGAAAACTCGAGTTAAACTCATGGAAATTTCTTGTAGTGAAGAAAATTGAAAACTTGTAGTATAGGTCAGCTGATTGTTAAGTAAGAAAATACTGAGAAAACTCTTTGTTTTAATAGCTGAGCTGCACCTGTGTGTGTTTAATGTGCCCTCCATGGGGCTGATTTTGCAGATAGACAGTACATACAAACATTGTAGTGTTTGCTGCATCTGCAGAAAGAAGTAACCCAAAAAGAAATGAAGGTTTTTATTTCTGTTCAAGCTTCTTTTTAAGAAGGAAAGAATCAAGCGTTGTTTTGCTGTGATCAACTTTTCCTTTAGCACACTGAGAATTTGGCTGGTAGCAAGAAGGAGTTGCAGAGAGCGAGGCCTCAGTTGTGCCTCAGAACCACTGATGATAAATGTGTTTGTTTAACACATGAAGAGCACACAGCATGGGCTGTTGGGTACAGAAATGCTTTTCTGGTGTAGCTCATGAAGTAAAGTCAATGCAGAGGATGTTCAGCACTCATCATAAAGCACTACCTGTTTGGGATGGTACAGTGATGTAATAACAGTATTTTCTTCATCACTGACGCAACCCTGTGTTTTACTGTAGTTAATCCTCTGCTCTGAGCAAATTTAGTTCCTTGTCAAGTCCTGTTTGTGTGCAAAGGAGAGATGGGTGGGTTGTTGTGAGGATCAGAGGTGCTGCCCAGTGTTGCTCCATCAGAACACCTGTGGATGCTGGGGGTGAGAATCCAAGCCTGTTCTGAGCTGCCTGGGAATCCATCTCTGCCCTCCTGCTATTAATTCTTGCAGGACAGGGCGGTTCTGCTGTGAGTTTAGGTGGGAAATGATACCCTGCTGGTGCTCTCTTGATTCCTCGTGTCCCAGAATGGCCTGAGAAACTGGGGCAGCTGGGCTGAGGAACCCCCATTTCCAGCAGGTAAAGAAAGTAAACAGTAAATGGAGAGTAGTGTAACAAACACTTGGGGTATCAAAAAACAGCTGTGAAAAGAATCTGTCTTAATGTGCTAGCCCATTGCAGTTTGACATATTGCTTACAACCTCCACAATGGGGCTTGGGTGACTTCTGTTACACATTCCAGGGCACTGGCAGCCTGGTACAATCAGGGTCTGCACTCCAGAACGGGCTAATTTACCACGATGGGCTGAAGAAAGTTGTGGATTTGTATTACAGGCTCTCACCTGACACCGTATCTGATCCCCTTTCTGCTGATTGACGTTTTGAATGAGCCCTTTGAAGCGAGTTCCAGCTTAATTAAAACGTTTGCTGGGTTAGCAGTGATCTGTGAAAGCCTGTGATAAATATTGAACCGGGTTCACCTGCTGGTGACTGGGGGAGCATAAACAGCTGCTTTGTGCTGCTTGGCTCCAGAGGCTGCAGCAGCAGCAGAATGCTGGGCTTTGAGAGCTTCCAAAGCAGAGCTGAAAAGCCCTGCTAATGTCACTGCTGATATCTCCCCAGATCGTGCTTGTGTGATATTTCACACAAGGGGCATTCACTGCTCCATCATTCACATGGCTTTGTAAGTGGGAAATGGAGATGGAGATAGGAAGAACTCCTCTTACCTCTTTGTGTTTCAGAGATCACAGCCCCAGTGTTTGTTTAGCTCTATTTTACACGCAGGACAGGTCGGGGGACTCGATTATTCCCTTTTTAATCGGGCTTCCACGTTCTGCCCATATAAATATTGATGTGATAGGCTGGTTTATCTCCCCCTGACAGCAGTAAAAACAAGCTGCATTAGCCTAAGGTCCATATAGTCTGGTATCTGATCTCTAACAGCATCTGTTACTGGGTGTTTCTGATTAACCACTGCAGAAAGTGGAGGAGAATCTTTCTTTTCCTCTCTTCCAAATGAAAGTCTCTATTTCAGGTTCCAACCAGGTTTAGCCCTGAAGCCAGAGGGTGTTACAAAATACAGTTCTCTTGTCTTAATGTGAATTATTTCTAATCAGCTTCCCCCTTTAATTATTTCATAGGTAAATTGAAACATTTTCTAATTTTATTAAGGCTCAATCAGTATCTCTGTGGCATGAGTGTAAAAGTTTGTATTTGGAGGCAACAGTGCCCAGGAAAATGCCAAGCTGGGGTTACTTTGCTCAGCTGGAGAGTTCCCCTTCCCCGGCTGCAGGAATGGGAGAGAACACCACCTTAGGCTTGGCTGTGTGAAATCCCCAGCAAATTCTTTTTATAGAAATGCAGAATTAAAATAGTTTGTCTTTTAGAAAAACGTTAAGATGTATTTTAAGAATTTGAGTGCAAATTGACACACTTGAGAAATGTGCAGAGAACACGAACTCAGCTTTTAAACTGTACTTTAACCACTTTCCTAAAGTTTCTCTTCATTGTGAAGAACCTTCTAAAGAGGTTTTATTTATTAATGTGTGTGTGGCTGATGGTGTCTGGCTTTCAGAGTTGCTCTGACTACTGCAGGCACTTTTATACTCTTCCTAGTTACCATAAAATCAGCCTCAGTTTACAGCTTTCTCAACACTGTGGAGGGTTTTCTTTGCATAAAACTTTTTTCAAAGTTAAAGGTAACATTTTAGTACTGGAATAGTGGCTAAAGTGCTTCCTAATGCCAGTGTTACACCAGCTACAAACCTTTAACTCCAACCTTTTAAGGCCACCTGTAAAATACTCTAATTTTTAAGCCTTACCCATGAGAACACTTCTAATTCTTTTCATAAAAAAGAAATAAATCTGGTGTTTCAAGCCCATCACAGAAAAGCCCTCTGTTCCTGTTTGTACATATATTAATTTGAACTGCATTTTCCTGTTGTTCTGAGAACTTTTGCAAAGTTGCAGCTGCCTGATTGGCCCTGATGTTTTTATCTGGCAAACTGAACGTGAGGCTCAGCAATGGCAGGCAAGTATTAAAGTATCCTCCTGGTGTTCTGTGAATTCTTTTTCCCTCCAAACCCACCATTGGAGTTGAATAAAAATTAACAGATAAGCCTGTTGGGTGAAGGCCCTGCACAGTGAGTGCTTTGGTCATGTTAATTGTCAGCGTGCTGATGTGGTTTTTATTATCCCGGGGTCCCACTTGCACTGCAGGTTGGTGTGTGAGCACACATGTAACATACACCACATGTCAGCTGTTTCCTGCTTGGCTGCTGACAAGAGCCCCATTCATAACTCCTCTTTTTATCCTCTCGGTGAATAAGTAATTATTCAATATAGGAGGCAGGATATTTGGAACTGGCTATTTAATGTGGCAGCACAGGGTAATGAAACCTGCTGTTCCTGGCAACCTGAGAGGGGAATGTAACAATTGCAGCACGGCTGTAACCGGAGCTGCTTTGAGGGCCTGTTTCCTTGGCACATCAGTGCACCTTTTATCCTGTGAGTGGCAGCTCTGGGGGTTCCATTTCCATGCCTTCCCTCCCGTGCTGGAATATGTGATGGTGGCCAAGGCTGAGGGGACTGAGGGTGACACGACCTTCTCCTGCCCGGCCTGGAGGCTCCGAGGCAGCCGAGCCCAGAGCGGGGCTGGAACCACGGCAGGGCCTGCTTTGTTTGAGTGGATCATTGACACGATCCAAAGGGGAGGGAGGGGTGTCTGAGCACGTTGGGGCTGCACTAAACCAGATACCAACACTACAGCATCTCCTTCTTTTTGTGTTGCTCAGGAGTTCTGGTTTTCCGTGTGTCCTTTCGCGTCAATTATTGCGACTTCCCGTCGGTTGTCCCAGTATTTCATGTTGTGAAAGGTGTGGCTTCTCAGGGAGGGAGAAAAAATGGCTTGTATCAAATATTTACTAGGATTAGGTTCTGTTTAGAATTATTCCCTGTGCTTCTTTACTCTCCTATTTACTTTGGCATAATGGCCCAGCAAACACGTTTCTAATGGAGGGTGTGTGACACGGTCTGTTTTATCTGCAAACAGATTGCCCTGAACTGTCTCGATTTCTGCTGCTTGCTTTGAGGAAAAATGTTCTCAGTGTTTTAATTTGGGTGTCTGATCCCAAATTTCCTTCGTGGAAGGTGCAGGACTCTGGTTCTGTCTCAGGAGTGTCCTTGGCTGAAGTTTAAACGTGAGGAGTTTGTATCATTCACATGTGTAAATATTCCCCTGGATTAATAATTCTTTGTGATTGGGTTATAATAAAGTTGTGATGGCTAGAAGGGGTTTTTTTTTAAGATTTTCAGGTGCAAAGATGCTTTAACACTTTAATTTTTGCAGCTTGATGGGCCAGCCTGGTGATGGAACTGTTGAGCCATCCCAGAGGGCATTTCCGAAGCAGCCCATGAACAGATTTAGCACATTCATCTCCCAGTGGCATTTTGCTGATTTTTAAATTTAAATCTTGGTTTGCAGTCTTCTGGCCCTTGCACTGAGTGTTCCTGCTCCTCTGGAAAGGCACCCAGTAAGGATCCCAGTCACACAAAGAAGAAGGAAGATGGAGATGGCTCGTCTGTTCCCAAGATATTTTTTGGAACACGGACTCACAAGCAGATAGCCCAGATCATCAGGGAGCTGAAGAGAACAGCCTATTGCTCTGTCCCCATGACCATCCTGTCCAGCAGGGATTACACCTGCATTCACCCAGTGGTGTCCAACAGTGGGAGCAACAGGAATGAAATGTGTGTCGAACTGCTGGAAGGAAAAAATGTGAGTGATTGAGTGTCAGCAAATGAGCATTCATTAAACACAGGCGGATTTAAGGGAGTGGAACAGCTGGATGAGGAATATTTTTTACTCTGGTGGTGAAATGCCTGCTGGTAATTTGGTTTCAATATGAATCGTTAGAAAATAGAGATACACTTCAGCAATACTGAAAAACTTATGATACTGGGGCTGGTGTTTATGACAGGTTAATGTTTTACTAAGACTTAAATTGTCTTTGGGTTTATAGATGAAGAAGGGAAGTGCCCTTTGCTGATGTGCATTTTAGGAACATGGATTTGCCTGACATGGTGTGCTTTTCATTCTTGTCTGACATAAAAAGTAGCTGCTAGAAATGTTCCCAGAAATAGTCAGATGCATGTAACAACTTGGGGCATTTGAGCTTGCTTGGGTTTCACGATTCTTGTACCCACTGCGTGCCCTTCTTTGCTTTCAGGGCAAGTCCTGTGCCTACTACCACGGTGTGCACAAGCTCAGTGAGCACCATGCCCTGCAGGCTGCATATGGGCTGCACCAGGCCTGGGACGTCGAGGACCTGGTGAGCCTGGGCAGGAAGCTTCGTGCCTGTGCTTATTTTGCAGCCAGGGAGCTCATGGTGGGAGCAGACATCGTGTTTTGTCCCTACAATTATCTGCTGGACCCGCAGATAAGGGAGAGTGTAAGTGTGTTTGTGACAAAGATTGCGACAGCCGAGGTTAAAAAGAAATTAGAAACATAATGATCAGTGGTGATGGTCAGCTGAGATATTGTTTATGTACAAAATATTACCAATAAAATAACTCCTGGGGTATTTTTTCCCCTTGGTTGTGGAAATTGGATCAAAACCTGAGAACCTTCTATTGCACCATGATGCAGAATGTGCATTTTTAACCTGTTAGTTGCTGATTTTCCCTCATATCTTTCCCTGTTTTACCAGGCAATGATTTTCTTTTTCAGATGGACATCAACCTGAAGGGCCAGGTGGTGATTTTGGACGAAGGCCACAACATCGAGGACTGTGCCCGGGAGTCCGTGAGCTTCGGGGTCACCGAGAGCCAGCTCAGGGCAGCCCGGGAGGAGCTGGACTTCATGGTCAGCAACAACATCAGGCAGAAGGACCACGGGCCCCTGAGAGCTGTGTGCTGCTCCCTGATAAAGTAAGGGGGCTCTTTAACACCTCTGCAGCAATTCATACATTCAGATTCCTTTTTGCAGTGTGTTCTCCAACCTCTGCAGTCAGCTGATCTGTGGTCACTTGAGGAATCCAGAGGGTGTTGATCTGTTAAAAACACTTCAGTCTTACTCAAATGGGAGCGTTGGAATTCTGGTTTGAAAAGTGTGTTCTGCTCCTGAACAATGGGCTGATCTTAATGGGGCTTTCGTGGGCTCCTGGTTCAGGATGAATGTTTTGCATGGGTAAATTTTTATGTTTCACGTGCTTCTGTTTGCTAATTTGACCAACAGCAGCATTATTTTGTCAAGGCATTGATTGGTTCACAGTTATAAAATGAGCCTCGGACAGGAAGTGTTTGGAGCGGGTTGGAATCTGTTCTTGGGATCAGATTGGAATTTGTTGGGCTCTTCATGGTTGAAAGTGAATTTATCAGTCATGCCCTTGGTTTTCTTTGTGAAACAGCTTCTTGGAAGGGGAAGGCATGAACATGAGTGGAAAATTATGGGATGGGACGGACCAAAGCAAAGGGACAGAAACCTGGGAAGAAAGAGGGGGGTCAAGGGCAAAGTCTTTTTGGTGAAGTGGAAGAATCAACTTGAGTAACAAAGCAGAAAAAAGTGGCTGTGTAGTGAATTGAGCTGTGATTCAGTGCCTGTCAGATCATCACTCTGGTGCACTTTGCAGCACAACACAAGGACTTCACCCTTTTCCCATCCTTTCTTGCTCCAGAGAGTTGATGTTGATGTGTGGCAGAGACAAGTGACTTTTTCTGTTGTGCACAAGCTCATTCTCCTACCTTGGCCATTTCAAATGTTAAATTTTAGTGGAAGATAAGAACAGCCTGGCTGGAGGTTTGATTGCCTCGAGCTTTTCAACCTTATCAGGAAAACTAAGGTTGATTGTCTTGGCAAATCTGCCAGGAGCATGAAAAGCAGTTGTTGGAAAGCAGAGGCCTGGGTGTAAATAGCCAGTAATGGGTAAAATGCTGCTGCATTGTGACATGGCTTTGCCAAATGCATGGGGAATGAGGAAAAATCTTATTTCACTAATAAAGAGCCTGGGCCCTCATTCCAGAAAGCACTTAAAGATGGGCTTGGAGCCACAGGGGTGCTGGAGTGACCTTTGGGAGGCATTTGAGGATATACCAGTGGAGCTGGCAGACTGTGCTGATGAGATGCACATTTACCAGGACAATGGAATATGCTGTGTCAACAGTGGGATTTTCTGGTGGTGAGGGAAGCAGCAAATACACTTACTGGAATGGGAGGTGTGTTTGTAACATCCACTCAGCCTTTTCCTGGAAATAGTGCATACACCAATTTTCACTCCAAAACCATGGATGCCTTTCTGGGAATCAAGCTGATTTTATTTGTGCTTCCTGCTTTGCTCTAAAAACAGTTTAACAGGTATTTCAAGTAAATGCCTTCATGTTAGATGGAATTTATTGGACAATTTGGGAGGGGTTTTTTGCCATTAGGAAGGCCACTGTGTTAAGTTTGTATTTGCATTTATAGCAAAACCATTTGAAAAGTCCCTGATGGTGTTTGAAGTTCATAGCAGGGGAGCAGAAGTTTTACATTTCCTGAAGTCTTTTATCCCCTGCAAATCTTTCATTTCTGTCGTGGTGGCCTTTCCCCAGTTTTGGCTCCAGGTCTTTTGGACGTTACATTTGAGGAAATGGGGCCCTGTGTTTGTGATCCCCATTCTTTAATAAAATAAAGCAAATTACAGCCCAGGAAGTGATTGTTATGACAGCATTTTGGGGGGTTTTGTTTACATTGAACCCAGCAAAAGGCAAGTTTTATTTTAATTGTCCCGTGGATCAGGTAATTGCAGTGACAGGGCAGGAGATCTGGGACTGAAGCAGTCACTAAGCCTTGCTGCTTTAGTTGATAATGATGAAGTGCTTTTGCAGGTGGATGTTTTGAACTGTTGCAGCAGTGACAGCTGTCCTTGTGATGCCTCCTCAGAGCTGATGGAACCGACAGTGCTGGCATTTCCCGCCAGGGAGGGACCTGCTGCTTCTCTAGACAGAGGCGAGGCCTTGTCATCCTGCAGGGGTGATGGAGGACAGGGAGGGAGATTTTGGCCACAAATGAGATGATCTGCATGTTTAAATCATGCTTTTAGCAACTCCCATCACATTTTACCTCGTACATGCAATTATAGTTCTGCTTAACCTTAATTGCAGCAGTTACCAATCCCTGCAAATCTTCAAACTGCAGCAGTTACCAATACTTGGGGGTAGGTTGAAATATGCACTTTTTATTATCCCCACTTCCCCTTCTGTGTGGAAATACCAAAAGCTCTCATTTCATGCCTCAAGATTTGCTCTTCCTAGGAAAGCCTGCAGTTAACAGGGCTGCTAAATTAATGTTCATCAGAGTAATGATGAGTGGCTGTAAAAGCACAGCAGAAATACTTCTTAAAAGAGCCTGACATATCACCAGGAAATTATACTTTAATCCTTTTTATTTATAATAAAGGTATTAAATGGTGACAAAGTACAAACATAGAGGGAGAAGAAATGTTCTTGTCACTTCAGTGAGTTGGTTCAACAGTGCAAAACAGGCAAAGCAGAATCTCCCTGCTTGGATGCAGTAAAAAAACATTTGTCATCATGACAGGACTCTGGTGCAGTTCCTGAGGTTTGGTTTGTGCTTGCAGAATGTCTCTGAGATCAGTGCTGAAGTTATTTCTGGCTCTTTCCTCTTTTGCAGTTGGCTGCAGGAGAGCTCTGGTCAGCTGGTAGAGAGAGGGTTTGAAAGTGCCTGTAAGGTGTGGAGTGGAAAAGAAATGCTCACCTTTCTGCACCAAATGGGGATAACTGGGATTACTTTCCCCATTTTGCAGGTAATGTTTTGTGCCACATCCATGAGCACCGAAGTACAAAATAGTGGTTTTGTTAAACATCTTGAGATGTGCCTAAGTTAAATGCAAAAAGATCTCTTAATTTAGTGCTGAAAAGTTGTCTGAAGGCGATTCCTGATGAAAACCAGGAGTAATCCACTCGAGCTCCTGGAGTTTGGGCAGAATCGATGTTTGAAAGGGTATAATTGATCACATGCAATTATTTCCATTGAACCACCGAGCCAGTGATAGTTGTGCCGTTGTATCCAGCTGCACTTTTATTGGCTGCTGAAACGTTTGTACCCTATTTTCAAGTTAATCCCTGCTTTCTGTGTAAGCCAGACGCATTAAAAGCACTGTTAAAAATGAAAGGCATTGTTCCTTTCCTCTCTGGCTCTCCAGGTACCTTAGGTGAACTGTTAAAGTAGTGAGCTGACAGTCTGCTATCTTGTAACTTTGTTTTTGAGAGGACATTTAGAATGTTGTTAGTGTGGAATTTGCCTCTTACAGAAACATCTCCTTGCGGTGCTGGAAAAAGAGGAGAAGGTGTCCGTGCACGGCAGGGAAGAACTCGTTGAGGTGCCAGTTGTGAGCTCTGCCACGCAGATAGTGCTCAAAGGGCTCTTCATGGTGCTCCTGTGCCTCTTCAAGGAGAACAGCAGGTCAGTGCCAGTGCAGAGCCTGAGCTCTGGCTGCCCTGGGCTCGAGCTGCTGTGCCAACCTGCCCCTTGCAGGTGGGAACACCTCCATTTCAATGTTTGGCTTCTGAGCAGAGCCAGCGTTTGGGCAAGCTTTGGAAAAACCTCCTGAAGTGGGCAGAATTGAAATACCACTAAAATTGGGGGTTATTTCATCAGTTAAACATGGAAGAAATTTATCTGAAGGTTAGGTGTCAGTTTTCCAGATGTGTTGCCAAGTGAAATATGTACAGGCTTTGTTTTTCTGTGGAGCATTTCTCATTTGACCATCTTTATATCTTGACTACTAATGCCAGCAGCTACTGAAAATTACTGATTGAACCTTATTTAAAGATTAGTAATTATTGTAAGGCTTCACTGCCTTCAGAAATTATTTATAATTGAATTATAAATGCACCATAACAGCACTTGCTTAATTTTATGAGCTCAGTGCTCACAGTTTGATGGCTTGCTGGCCGTTCTTCCTGATACTCCCACATCTCTGTGTAGGTTTGCAGATGATTACAGAGTTGCTCTGCAGCAAACTTACACTTGGGTGAATGAGAACCAGCACGAGGATTCAGACACAGGCTCCTACTTTGCATGGCCCAGGCACAAGAAGAGTTCAAGGCAGAAGACCCTGGTCCACCTGCTCAGTTTTTGGTGCTTGAACCCTGCTGTGGTGAGCGAGTGTGAGGGAGGGGGCCTGAAGTCATTGCAGGGATAACAAATACAGAGCTTAAAGTGCTTGTATGGATTTTTCAGGATTCCTTCTGGTTTTTTTTCTCCCACCTAGGCTTTTTCTGACCTCAGTGAAGTCAGAACAATTGTCCTGACATCTGGAACACTCTCTCCCATGGATTCCTTTTCCTCGGAGCTGGGGGTGAAGTTCTCCATCCAGCTGGAGGCCAACCACGTCATTCGCAACTCCCAGGTAAGCTCAGTTCCCTCTCCTGAGCTCCAGTGCTGCCCATGCTGCAAGAAACAATACCTTGCAAAGAAAAACGTTCTGTAATTGAAAAGAAATGTCCAGAAAAGAGTGCTCTTGGATTTCAAGGCACTTTCCTTGAGAAGTTATCTTGGTGTATATGTTGGTGACAGCATCCCATCAGTTCCTGCACTGTAGTGAAACTCTGCAGTGAATTTCCTCAGAACTGTCTCAACCTTTCCTTCACACTTGCACTTTCTGATGGAGCTGCTGCAGCTCAGAGCAGCCTGTGCTGCCTGTGGAGCATTAACCCTTGGCTGGCTCTGTCCCCAGGTGTGGGTGGGCACGGTGGGCGCTGGCCCCAGCGGGCGCAGGCTCTGTGCCACCTTCCAGCACACCGAGACCTTCGACTTCCAGGACGAGGTGGGGGCACTGCTGCTCTCCGTGTGCCAGACGGTTGGCCAGGGAGTTCTCTGCTTTCTGCCATCCTACAAGGTAAGGAAATCCATGCCCTTCCTCTTGAAACTTGCTCTCTGCATCAGCACACGTCAGTGGTTATGAAAATAACTGTATTGGTTATTAATGTAATGGTTATGAAAGCAATGGTTATGAAAACAAACTGTTATTTACATTGTTATTTCTTGGGTGTCGTGTTTCCTGGCATTCAAACATATTGGTTTCCATCAGTTGGCTGTGTCTTAGTAATGACTACAATTGTTTTGATTAGTTTTACCAAAAAAAAAGCCAGACTGATTTGCATTTTTTCCTATATTGCTTCTTTAAAGGTTTCAGAATTATTTATTAAAAAAAAAAGAATATTCTCCTCCATGTAAGCACACATCATGAGAGAGATCTGCATGTGTGTAACTCAGGAGCAGGGATGCCTTTGCCTGGCCTTTCTGTGCTGCTGGAATGCAGGATCCATCCAGTTCATTTGTTTCTGGGTTCTTGTTCCGTGTCACTGCCTTGGAGATTGGAGTACATTTTTCTGGAGCCAGGGGAATTGCTCACTGGCAGTGGCTGAAAGGAATCGAATTTCTTCATTTCAAACTATGCAGTATCTAATTTCACTGACAACAGATATCTAATTATGGTTAATCTGTACCTCCCAGTACTTCTGCTTTCTTCTCTATTAGCTCCTGCTGTTATTTATGGGCAGGAATATAAACCTGCAGTGTAATTCTGTAATTCATACTCATTTGTCTTGTAAACCTTACAAAAGGCTCTGACTTCTTAAATTTTAAATAATCATTTCTGATTTTATAAAAACCATCTCAGCAAACAAAACAAAAGCCTCAAAAAAACCAAAACAAAAACCTCAAAAATCCTACTAAATGATCACAACTGCCCAGTAGAGTGGAAACAGAGGTCTCAGGCCTTTTCCCTCACTTCTAAAGTTCCTAAACAGAGAATATTTCACAAAATGAAATAAACCCTGTTTATTCTTCTATACAAAACCTTCATGTTTCCCTGTGTAACTGGTGGGGCTGCAAAGGGAGGGCCATTTCTTGGCTCTGTGTGTGTCCCTAGAGCTGTTTCAGTGCAGTTCCTGGCAGCAGCCATTAGGTGACCACCTCACACCAGGCAATGGAAAGAGCAGGTTCCTGACTGTCCATTTATTTAACAACTCACAAACCCCCACCCTTACAGGCCAGGGGAACGATCTGACAGCAAATCTCACCTGCAGTTTGGCTGAGAATTGAACTGGGGAATGTTTATTTTTCAGTGTTACCTCGGGGAGGGTGTCCCGGTGGGCAGCGGATCCTACAGAACCTGCCAGATATTCCTGAAAGTTTGGATGAGATTAATAATGAGGATTGGTAATGCCATTTAAGAGAGGAGGAAAGGGATTGCTGGACAGCTCTGGAACCCTTCCCCCCCCTCCCTGCCCTCCTGTCTCCCTGAAAGGTCACCCAGCTCCACCAGGCTGAGTGCTTTGTTCTTTGTGGGAACACCTCCCTCAGCCCAGGCAAAGTATTGATAAATATAAATTGCAGACAATTGAGGGATGATATTTTAAAATCACATTGCCAATCTTCTTCTCTGGATGCCCTTTTTCTTTCTACTGCTTTTCTTCTGGATTGGGTTGCCTGCAGCTCTGAGATTAATATGTTGAGAACACAGACTAATGTGAGCATATTAGTGCAGGGAAAAGCAGGTATTTTTCTTTCATCATGCAGAATATTTGCATTTCCAAACTGTTTTTTGGAGATTTGCTGAGGAAATTGCTGCCTCTCCTTAAAGAACTGCAGCTTTGAAATGAATTTTTCAAGGCTGTCAAGATGTGATTAATGCACATGGTCACAGACCTCACTGTTAGGAGTTAAGCAGATTTTCTGAGGGCTCAACTCGTTTTATGAATTAAAGTCTCAGTTTGGAATAAGTGAAAAATAAAGTGTATGTCTAGAAAGTGAGAAAACACTGAATTTTGAGTAGTATCTCTGCAGGTGACTTGATGGAGTTTGAATTTAATTAGGCATGTACATTGAATTTCAGTTTGGAATTACTGGATGCAATGTGAATGAAAAAAAAAAAGCAGCAGTGGAGAAATTTGCCTTTATCTTAATCAGGTATTTGAATGAACATATTTTTAATTGAGGAGTGTTTAAAATATCTGGAGTTAATAATGCAGTGGAGGAAAATACATGGGTGGGAAGACAACACATCAGCTGTACATTCCCACCTCTGAGAGGGGTTTGTCCATGGGCCATGAAAGGGATCATTTACAAACAACATTCGAATTTTTATTGTCATTTCTGGACTTCTGGCATGTTGATTTTTTTAAAAAATAAGCTCAATTTTAACAGTTACCCAAGTGCAAACCTGAAGCGCTTTCAGGGGCTCTGAAAACCGGTGATACCACGCAACAAAAATGCATTTCTGTGCCAATCAGTAGCAACTCCAGCAAAAACACTCCATAAAAAAGAACATCAGAAGGTGAAAAGATTACCCAGAAATCTAAGATGCTTTTAAACAAGATTAAGATAAGGCCCATTAGGGCTCATGTTGCCAACCTGTCTGCATTAAGATATATCTTGCCTGGTGCTGCATCCGAGATGATCCATTCAATATGTGTCATATCAAAGTCAGGGGATCCAGCGAGGAGAAAAATGCTAATGCTTATAAATTTAGTGCTAATCCATCATGATGAATTAAGTGACCTTTCTTAGGAGCTTTTTTTTTTTTTTTTTGTTATAGCAGATAAGCTTTGGGCAGGGATGTTAATGCTGGTGGGGATGGTTTATTCCAGCCCCTCCGAGGGGTTGTTGCTGGTTAATTTGTAGCTGCTAATTGAGGAGTCAGAACTTGGAATCCAAATGTTTTAAATAGTGGGTTTGAGTGACTGGGTTCACCAGGAAAACTTGTGAGCTGGTAAGAATGCTTTGCTTGAGAACCCAAGCTCGTTGCAGGGAGGTTGAACTGGATCACATTTAAAGGTTCCATCCTGCCCAGACTATTCTGTGATCATAAACTGGCATTGCCACGGGCTGTGGGAGTTAGGAAGGTGGCACAATCAGCATGTCATTAATTAATGCTGCACTGCACTGGCTGTTTTCCTTGGCATTTGGGGGGGAAGATTACAGTGATATAAAGTAGCTTTTGTACCCTTACAAAACTAGCCCTGAGTTTCCCCTTGGGGTGTGTGTGTAACTCGTGTTTCAGGAGCTGCTGGTTCAGACTTGGGGCTCTGGCAGCTCATCCCATTTTCCACTGGGCTGATCACGTTCTGTCCAGTGGGAACAGCTGGGATCGGGTGACAGTGGAACCCCTGTGTCCCTGGGAGAGGGGGGAGTGCTGGTGCCACAGCCCCCTGTGTGTCCTGCAGTGTCCCCAGTGCAGCCCAGCAGGGCTTCAGGACAGGGATGAACCCAGAGCAGTTTAACAGAACATTTACCCCAAACACAGATTTGTAAATAAATGACCCATCCTTTTTTTTTTTTTTTTTTTTTCCCTGAAGTGAACAAAACTAACCAACTCTTGCTTATTTAATAAATTGCTTCAATAAATTTCCCAAAGATGGTAGTCTGGTTAGCCAGGCCTATTAAAAGCATTAAGATTCGAGCACTGGCTGTTAAAATGAGTAAATGGCAATATCACAAAAGTTAAACAAATGCCAAAAAACATTTTCCAGAGGGCTGGGATTGTAACAATACCATTAATGAGGGCAGAGAGGTTTTAATGCAATTTGCACGTTCTAAAGTTTCAAAAAGAGGTTCTGAGTTAGTGCATTATTAATGTTCTGAACATCTGGAACTATGTAAAGCCCCAGACATTGAGCAAGTGCAGGGTTTCCCCACCAGGCCTGATGCTGACTGATTTCCTCCCTGGCCAAAAGCTTGTTTTTAAGAAGCTTGAGCCGGTAAAATGACAATATCCAGATAAGAGATAAACATTCCACAGTGTCTTTTTTTGCTTGTAATGTGCATGGGGGAAAATTGGGAGCCATTAGGGTTGTGCAGTTAAAAGGTGAATTGGAAATTAAATGGGAAAACAGTTGTTTGCAGCACAGATGGTTCAGTCACACTGCTTTTAGAGCTTAGGAGAGGAATTATCTAGTAAATTCCATAAGATTGAGTTTTCTTTTTTTCCTGTTAGGTGTATCTATGTATTATATAGAGGAGAAATGTTTTATCAAGGTAATATTCTCTTTGATAATCCTATAGAAATGCTCCAAGGAAGGGGTTTACTCCTGTGGGTAAATATTGGCAGTTTGTAGGGATCTGTTCCCACCAGGTGTGGTTTGCAACAGAGATTTGTTCTTTAAAGTTACAGAAGCATTGACTTTGTGCCCAATTTCCCTGTTAGAGAAGGTGATGGACACATCCAATATATATATTCACCCAAAAGAACAATTTTCAGGCTTGATGTACATGACCTGAGGTGTTTCCTGAGAGCTCCAATAGCTCCTGGAAATCTTCATGGGATTTCTCAAGTCTCCACTTCCAGTTTTTCCCACTGACTTGGGCATGTCTGTAAAAATCACTGTGTGAGGGAAGATTTTAACCATTCCAGCAGGACTCTTTTTTTTTTTTTAATCTCTGCTTTGGACACTGAAGACTATTTTGGTAAAATTGGTGTAAATAGGGAAGAGCAGCAGCAGAAGGAATAATGAAGTTTGTACAAAAATAATTAGAATAAGAGTTTTTCTATAACCAGGTGTATAACATTTATCTTCCATGTCCTCAATCAATCAAATTGCTCTTGCCAAACTAAATTTCTGGCAGTTCACACCCTGACAGGATCACTTTTTGTGGAATTACAGAGGCTGCAGCAAACACCCAGCCAGGAGTGCTGGATTGTGCTCCGAAGGAACTGAAGCCCTCCTGAACTTTTATAATGATTTATTGGAATGTTTTCACTTAGCAGTGTTTGGCCTTGAGTTGTCTGGGTTTGGGGTTTTTTGGTGGTTGTTTTTTCCCACTGTTTGGTTACCAAGAACAGGCCAAGGAAATTGTTGGGTGCAGGAAAGGTCAGCTGTGATCTTTGGGGGGTGA